TGGTGTGAATGTGTTGGAGAATGATGACATCACCGGGGTCAGGATGCTTCTTGTTCATGTCATAGACGATGTCTACTGAGCCTGACTTCTGAAGCTTGAGCCCTCTGGCTGCCATCACACGAAGCTGATGTCGGCGTTGTGGTGCCAGTCCGTTGGCCTGCGCTCCCCATGTCATGACCGGGTGTATCGCCCCTCGGTGCAACCTGTACCTCACTGCTGTGTTCAGCTTGAGGCGATGCATGATGCCTGCTCGACCTCTTCCCTTGGTGAAGCGCTTCTTGACCTGTGGGACTCTCCTCCTCTTGGCAGCAGTGGCGTCGATGCCCAGGTCACGAAAGACATCATAGAGCTCAGGATCTCCAGGCTGGAGGAGAGCTTTCAGGGCCTGAGCGGTCTCTTTGGAGCTCGTGAGGAACCCAGTCTTATTCGTGTTGAGCTTGAGGCCTGCTTCTGTTAGGGCTGCATGAAGGCACCGATAGGACTGCAGAGCTTCCTGGGCCACATAAATGGGGTCCCTGCCCCGGACATCAAAGGAAACATCATCAACCCAGGTTTGGAGAAGCGCTGCCGGATGTTGTCTCTGGAGCGCGAGGAGTGGCTTGTAGAGGACCAGCTTGGCGATGGCAGGCGCTTGAGGACAGCCTTGGAGTATGCCCTTGCGGTAATGTTGCGGGTCAGTGGCGATGCCCTCAGCTTGGATGACCCGTGGGCCCCTGTAAAGATCAATGGCCATCTTCAGATGCAGCAGCGGGTATTCTAGCTCTCGGGCCGGCTGGATAAGCTTGTCAAGATCGACTGTGTCGTAGAAGCAACTGAGGTCAGCCAAGCAAGTGACAGTGTGGATGTCATTGTGTTTGCAAAGCTCAGATTGGAGCATCCTTCCAACTGCAATGGATAAGCAATCTTTCTTGGGTCTTGCGTGATCCCATGGCATAGCCGTGTCTAGAGACAGCTGCCACCGGACAATGTCTTGCTTCCGGATCCGGTTCCAAAGCCGGTAGAGGCACGAGGTCAACGCAATGGGCCTTTCGACTTTGAGGCTTTTGGGAATCATGACGATGTTGACCATTCGGAGTTGTGTAGGAAGAAGTGCCTCTTGCTCCATCTGATTGAGCAGATTCGCCAGCTGCGCAATGGCTTCAAACGGAAGCTGCTTGAGGAAGTCATAGGAGATCCCATCCGGTCCCGAGGCCTTGTGTGGAAGTTTCTTGATCACCCTCTGAAGACTGAGCGGATTGATGGGTTGCATAGTGCGGGCCTGTTCGATGGCATCCTCCCTCAGCTCGCGGAAACCTTGAATGTGGCATGGTTCGTCCACAGGAATCCAAATGGCGCCCCACTGTGACTGGCGGGCTTGAAGTCGTTCTTGCAAAGGTAGATCTTGGAAAGGACGCTGCCATGGGATGTCCTTTTGTCTCAGGCTGCGGAAGAGGCCTCTGAGCCCCTTGGTGTGGGCTTGAGAAAGCCAAGTCTTGTACTCGTCCGTATTGGCAAGGGCCAAGCCGATGTGAGCTTGATGTTCTTGTGCCATGACGAGATCCTGAAGCTTTTGAGGATCTAGATGGGTGTTGTCCATCCACTGCAAAAGGGCCGTGCAGAAGCCATCTTGGTCCAGCTCATCCGAAGCATGTTCAGCTATGTTGGGAATCATGTTGAGAAGATCTTGTCGAACCCCTGCGTGTTCATTTTGGTGTAAGACGCTGATCCTCACTGCAAGCTTCTCCCAAAAGGCTGGCCTTCCCTTCTTCCACAGCTGAGCAGAATGAGGACCCGCCAAAGGACCATTGGTGAAATCGATTTGTGAGCCCCTTCCTCTTCGTGGCTGTTGGATCTGTTGTGTGAGATAGGCCTCCGATTTGGAACTCCATCTGGCAAGATCAGAGCCAAGTCCAGTGATCTGGTAGTTGAGGATGAAAAAGGGGCCATTGGGTTCCGAAAATTCCGACCATCCATGGATGGGATTCAAGGCCCTTCCAATGGGTGGAAAAGCTCTAATTTGCTGAACCTGGATGGAGAGGTGCTCTGTGTGGTAGCTGAGCGTCAGAGCACAATGTGGTTTCCATGGCACATCCCAGGACAGATCAAGATCCAAGGCCCCGTGAAGAGAGTTGGAGATCAAGAAGTAGTCAATGTCACTCCCTTGCAGGGTGGTAGGTCCGTCTCCACTGAGGATGTGTGCTTTAAACTTGCTCTGAATGACCATGGCAGCAAGTTCAGTGGGCGGGTTCTGCCAATCACCCCCAATGATGAAGGGAGCTTTGAGGAGCTCCAGGAAGCCGAACAGGTTGCTAAGGATCTCCGCATTCAAGGGTGATTGGAGGCTCTCTCCGGTTCGCAAGTACAATTGGACAATGGCCATATGGAGGCCTTGCCTTTGGTAGCCAACTGCCATCCATCCATTTCCTTCTTTGCTGAAGTGTTGAAGACTGTGGACATGATGATGTGGAGGGTAAAGGCATAGAAAGCCCCCCGTGGTTCCTCCTCGCCCTGTGGCTGTGGCTGGGACACCAATGGCTTTCCATCCCCGGATGATGAAGTATTGCATGGCTTCTTGCATCTTGTCTTCAGCCAGGTGAGTCTCCTGAAGGAAGATCATGTGGTCGGCCTTTGTCCACACCCAATCTTGAACCTTTTTGCCGAAAAAGGTGACATTGGCGAAGCACATCCTGACATCCTCATAGTGCGTTTTGCTCTTTTTGTTGACTGGCTCTGGAACAAGGATGTCATCAGAGTCATCTTGCATTGGATCATGAACCATCCAAACTTGCAGGACTTCAGTTTCTTGTTGTTCCGTGAGCTCAGGGATGGCTTGTGGGAACTGGTTGTCATCAACTCTCCAATATGCATTGTCCAGGGCGTGGATTGCCGTGAAATGACCGTTGTGGTGGGTCTCGCCATGGTGCAAAATCATGGCTACTGGTCTGTAACCTGCATTGGAGACTTCAATCCCGTCGTTGGAGAAGGGAATGTTGAGGATTGTAGGAATCTCGACCGGCCGGTGATGCTTCGTCCAGGTGTTCTCTCTGCAATGAAACCTCTGGAGGTGGAGAATCAAGCAAGTAGGTGCCCCGTACAGGTATTGCCCTCCTTCTTCATACGCCCATTGAGCGATCAGCTCTTCCAAGGTGACTTTGGTTGCACCCGGTGGACAAATGAGGTTGATCGGAACCTGCTCTCGTTCTTCCAAAACTCCATTGGACTTCAAATGGAAGAATTTGCCCCCAATGTTCGGAGGAGCTGCAGTCGTGTAGAGGTGTCCGACAAAATCTCCAACGTCAGCTTGTTGCTGGTCATCAAAGTGGGCCCAAACATCCCCCAATTCATGGATTTGAGTGAGGAAGCAGGGCTTGGAGGAAGAAAGAAAAGCCCGAAAGGCTCGATGCAGTCTCCCCCACGTCTGAGTGGGTTCAGTGGTGAAGCTGCTCAACCAACTCCAACACCTGAAGGCCGAGTTGACGAAACAGAGGTTGCCGTCGTTGGCTGCAATACTGGTTAAATTCTGCACAATCAAACCTGAGTTGGCTTGAATGAAGGGAGGCTCCCCTTGCAGGCCTTGATGATGGTGCACCAGTCTCTCCATTCTTTGCAAGTCTGCCAGGAGTTGTTGCCCATGGTCCTGAGTTGGCGCCCGGAGGTACTCAAGGCAGGAAGCATGAAGATCATGATGGCCTGTTTGAAGGAGCTGAGAGTGAAGATGAGCAGGCATCCCCATTCCACTGTCCATGTCTTGGAGGATGCGGGCCAGCGCAAGGAAACCTGAGGTCCCGATCACAGCTCTGCCCTTGGGGGCAGGCTCTGACGTAGAGGAGCTCGGTGCCTCTGGTTCCTGCACTAGCCCGCTGCCCCCTTTGACCTTGGCAAAAGCTCGCCAGGGTCCATAGGATGCCGTAGGGGCTCGTGCGATGAAGCTTGAGCCCAAACTGTCATTATCGGTGAGGTCAAAAGAGTTGTCTGTGCCCCTGCAACTCTGCTGACCTGTGCCCCTGTCCATGTGTGTACATGGTGTCAACCCCATAGTAAAATGCGAAGCTGGGATCAAATCTCGCTGCAAAGCCTCAAGTGTCAGGTTACCCACATGACTGTGTTTTCTCTGCTTCTGCAAGCTTGCGACGCTTAGCATCTTCATCTGCGGGAGCTGTGGGCCTTTTGAGCATCGATTTGAGCTGGTCCTGCTGCTCTTGAGTGAGACTGACACCAAGAGTGCTAATGAAACCAGCTACCGCTTCTGGAACTGGATCCTTCATTTCAGCATCTTCAACAAGAAGCACGGGGTCCGGCTGTTTGCTGACTAGGGTCATGTAGGCCGTGCTGGTGTTGTTGAGCTCAGTCTGTTCTTGTTCGATCTTGGTCTGGATGAGTTTCATCTCGTTCAACAAGTCTTGAAAGGCCTTCTTGGTGTTCGATCTTGGTGGCATCGATCAGTATAAAGTCAAACACGTTGATTTGTTTTCAAAAAAAGTCCTCTAGCTCCCTCCATCTACTTGCGTGCATGGATCGGGGATCATATATATATATACTTATATATATATATAATCAACTCACTTTTCCGAAAATCATGGAGACAAATGCATCAGATGCCTAGCAGGTTCAGAGTAGATGCCACAAACCCAGACAAAGGACCACATTTGGACGGGAATACATTGTTCAACCACTTCAACTGGGTGGACTGTGCCATCGCTCCACAGTTCCCATGGGACGAAGGCGGCGGCGGAAGGTCCAGTCCACTGCCCGTCCTCTCCGCTGTTGCAGCTGGAAACGGACAAGCTCCGCCTCGGAGGTGGCATCACGGTCCGGTGTTGCACTGATTCATGTTGCAGTGAGAGACCATTTTGAGGGAAAAAACATCCAGATTGAACATGGTCTCTCAGCTCAACGTTGTCACAAGCCAAGTGACAACCTCCGTCACTTCCGCAAAAAGAAGAACTACGGAAGTAGCGATTATAGATGATCACGCATCTCTGCACCCAGATGCAGAAGATCCGTGACGCGGGCGTCCAGTTTCAACACAGGCCCGTCGCAGGCTCGGACAATGTCAAGCTAACAGTGCCAATCACTGAACTGCCCGTCATAGCGGTCTCTTGCCACTGCAAAGCTCCGTTGGTCCTCTTTTTCGCCACTGGAGCCTCTTGTTCGCCCGCGAAACCATGGGTTCCAATGCTTCCAATGCCCGCGAAAGAGGGGGAGCAAGTGGAAAAGTCGTGCGACTGCTCTTCCACAGCCAGCCCCTCTGTAGTTCGACTCTCGTCACCGACTTCGCCGAAGGACTCGCCACTGCGCCACTGAGGGGTCCAAGCCCCCATCCCTCACAGCGCTGGCAGAGCGCCGCGCCGTCCCTGAACCCAGGGACCCAACGGCTCAAGCACAGCGCCGCGCCGGTCGGTGTTTACTTCGACCCCGCCCCTGGACCGCGGTGTGTGTATGGTGAGACGACGGTCGTGTGACTCGCCGGAAATGACACAAACAAAGGGGTGGTGTTTAGTCCTTAAGTGAGTGGATAATGGGCCCCCCTCACCTCCAATAGGAACCCCGACATGTGACTGCTGGTGTAGATGTGGTGATCTCCTACCTTCAACTTCTTCTCAGGGCCCCTGAAACACTTGGAGCTTTGGGAAGTTTCTAGAAGGCTTTCTGCCACGGGTTCTTCTGGGCTTCGTGAGTCATACCCCCGAACTTCTCAAATCACAGTTGGACTCCAAAACCTCCCAAGCCTCCCAGTGGACTCTTTCCCAAGCCTCCCAGTTCGTGCCTCCCATACTTAAAGCATGTCAAAAGCCCGAACCAAGAGTCCGACCCATCCGTCCCCGTCCCGAACCCGCCTGTGGCGCACCCGGCCACGCGGCGACTCCGGCGATGGCGTCTGGTTCGGGTGGGCGATGGCCATTTGACAGAAAGCAGGAGCAAGAAGCTACTGTTGGAGGCCATTACTGGTAACAAGAAGCTACTAGTAATAGCTCCTGGCATTACTACTAGTATATCAGTATATCTAATCTTCTTATCATCTATTATCATCGATTCTATCTTACTCTATTATCTCTATTGCTCTTACGGCACACACACCACAAGCCTCGGCATCTCCGGAGCCGGTGCGGGCCCGCTGCAGCTTCACCGTGTCGTACTTGGACCAATAGTCCTTTTAGACAGGGAGAGTGGACCACGTGATGCTCCGAAGGCAAAGTTCTGGAGGCTGAACTAGGGATTCATCACTAGGGCCGAAGGGCGGGCGTTCTCTTCAGAAGGGACATCTAGAGGTAGGATCGAATCAACAAAATGAGCGGATGCTGCGGATGCTTGGTAACTCCATTTCTCGAGATGGGTATACTTTTCAATAAGGGGGACTTCCAAACAATGGGTTTCTGGTCCATTGCCCTTCCGAACAATGGGGGTCGTTCTCCCGAAGATTAGGAGGTCGGTCTCCCGATATATTTCAGCTACACACCTGTCGCTTCTCCAGATGCCTGATGTGCCGGTCGCACCAGGATGGGGTTGACATACCAAGGTCAACCCTACCAGGGATTAGGTCCTCAGGACTCTGACCCAGAACGCTCCACCCAGCCTTGTTGGCCGCACGTTGCTCCCACTGATGCGCATTCCTCAAGCGCCCCAGCGGCTGCTCGATGATCTCGGGCACCGGAACCTATGGACCCGGTGAGTCCGAGTGGGTGGCCCCGCAGGTCTGTTCGACATCGCCACCCCAGGTCAGAGGATGAACACAGAAAATCACCATGAGGATAGACAGACATCACATGAGGACCTGACCCAATCCACCAAACCCAGGAAAAACCAGGACCTCCACTCCCCCCCCCGAGTTGACCGGAGACCGGAGTGCTTCTTCGGGTTGGGGGGGGGGGTCTTCAACACTGGTGCGGCAACTGGGTGTCCACCCAACATGGGGTCCCAGTACTGGTCTGCATCGCCTCGTTTTCTGACGGAGGAGTCTGGGAGTCAGCCTACTCCAGAGGCTCATGGCTTGGTGAATGAGGCCATTTGCTAAGGCTATTTGAGCGTCATCATATATGTGCGCCTGCAAAAAAAAAACGACATGGAAACTGCTGAAGGTGTTTGGAACTAACTCTTTCACCCGGAGTGGTCTGCCACTTAGCAGCTAGTACCCAACAAAGTTGCGAATTACCTTTTAGAATTTTTTTTGCAAAGTATCTGAAACAATGTTTGGCCGTGGCTCAAAAGTGAGGTACTCCCTGGCAGTCCCGATCAGATCGGGACTCAAAGCGAGCCGTAGTCGACTCTCGGGGTTCCGTGTGGAGAAGGCAAGGTAGACAGTAGACAGCATCGCATGGAGAGTCGCTTTCGATTTGAAGTCAGTCGCTCCATGAGTCTCTGGAGCTGGAGATGGCCAGCAGGGGCCTGGATCTTGTCCGGGATGCTTTTGCCCGTATCCAAGTCAAAGACCACAACCTGAGTCGAAGGACCCTCACAACGAATCGACGCCGGACATGTTGGATCACTTTTTGCGGTTCAAAATTGAATGTGCTACCAGGAGTCGCAAAGGGGTTGTGTTTAGTCCCTAAGTGAGTGGATAATGGGCACCCTTAACCTCCATTAAGCACCCCTTTGGAACTGCTGGTATATAGACATATATATATATATCCCTTTTGTTGATCATATCATATATGTACAACATGCAAACAATTGACTTGACAAACGCTGGACCACCCCAGGGTGTGTTATATGTTGAGACTGCAAATCTGGAGCAAGAGAAGTAGCAAACAAAACGATTGCAATCGGTGTCCGTTTCAGGGTGCACCAAACCTTATGAACCCCCATGAGCAAGGAAACTTATCCTTCCATATCCTTCCTAGTCATCGTTTTTGCATCTCCAAAGATCATCGTTTTTGTTTTGGACACGGTCTTTGAAGGAGATGCATGCGTCCTGTTTGGGGAGAACGAAGTTCCCACGCACGTCCGGATGTCCACGGCCGGCGTCCAGGCATACAAACCTCGTGCATGGCACCTGGAGCCCCCTTCACCAGCCCTATTCTTGACCATGTCTAGTAGTCTATCCTGTTCTTGGTGAAGAAAGGGTGACCCACAGCCTGTCTAACTTGTCAACTTGTCGCGTGAACACCCGTTTTCCCGTTCGGCCACTAGTCCTCGTCTCCAGGTCCAAAGGTGACGGAGTCCCGTCTGGCCGACCGAACTGGTGGCCCCTCGCAGCAGTTTGAGGGACCAAAGGTGCAGGGGGGTTCCTTTCAAAAGTAAGTCCGCGTCATGAAATGTATTGAAATGTCATGAAATCCATACTTACACCATCTTACACCTCCCCATTCCTGGGGCAGGAGAAAATCCGGAGGTTGCATCTGAGTGCCCTGCATCCTCTGCCAGCTCGCTGGCCAGCGGCGCCTTGCCAGCCATGCCCATCAGGAAGGGCGCAGGGCTTTCCAATGCCCAGCGGAAGCTCGGAGGTAGGATCGGCAGATAGACGTGCTCCTCGGTGTGGTGTTCAGCGGCGCGGTGTGTATGGAGGCGGGCGGAGCACGTGAACGAACAGCTCGAAGGCAGACGAACGAACTGCGGAAGCTTTGAGCCGAGCAGCAACCTGGGAAGGCCTAAGGGTGATCTGAAGGGGTGATCCACTCGGTCACAGGACACGCCAAACCTACATCAATGAAATACCTATTGTGATCTATTGTGAGGATCTGTGAGTATCAGGAGTGTTGGTGTTGATTTCACATCGTCTTCCTTGCCCTTTTGATTTAGACTCAAATAGGCCTTAGCAGCATCTCCCCAGACCAGAAAAAGCCGTCTCGGGTCGAACGGAGCCGTCTCGGGTCTTCTCCAGATGGAAGTTCCTCCTTTTCATCCACCCTGTCAGGTCAAAAGACCTCCTAACGTCCTGAGTCTTCACCGACGTGGGGCGGAGGCTCAAACCGCGCCAAGAGACCCATTCCAAGGGGAAGAGCAGCGCGCGCAGGGCTTCCAAGATCACCGCCTCGCAGGTCAGGCTTGAGCAAAAGCTCAAACCGCTTGAGCGGCCCAGGTGCCAGGTGCCCCATGAGTTGGCAGGGTTTGAAGGGTGGGTCTTTTGCAGCACTGTGATAGACATTCACATCCATCCCCAACATCCCCAGACAGCTGTTGATGGTCATGTCTCTCAACAACTTATAATACGCTTCCCTCAAGAAAGGGTTTCTGCATCCCTGCTCTCTTCATGATTCCGAAAACCAACAGGAAATGATACCAGCATAGACCCCAAACAGTTTCAAAACACGATTCCTTTGGACCCATATGAGTTCAAAACGATGTCCTACGGTACCTCCTACCTTCCGTCTCACAGAGCCGGGTCCGGTCCGTCTTCTTCTCGCTCCTTCCGTCTCCCCATCCGGTCCGCGGCGTCCACGGCGGCCCGGCCAGCAGTGCAGGGCTGAGTTGTTGTGAGCTCAAGACCACCTCCAAGGACGAGCACCACAGGTGTGTTTTTACCGCGGAGAGGCACCCGGAGGACGGCAACATGCGACGGTTCGTCCGGCACACACCGGTATCGCTCATGAATGAGCCCAGGTCCGAACATCTGCACACACCACCTCTTTTGGTAGGCCCCTGAAAAAAAAGTGAAAAGAAGAGAGAGGTCCAAGGTTTACCGCCTTCCCCGGCCTTCCCTTCTCCATCCCTCTTTTTTTCAAGCTGGGTCGCCCCCGTCGTTGCTGACAAAAAACGCCTTGAGTCCTCTGAAAAAGCACACATACAACGTGAATGGAACCTCTACCAAAAGATGTTCAACTCATGCATCTGGACACCAACAATATTGCCCCAGCAACCAGTCACAATCATCAATACGACGACTCCTTCGTTCGCCCGAGCCGTGGGGGAGAGCAATCTCAAGTTCGTTGCTAAGCCAGGACTGCTATAATCGGGACATTGACAACTGGAGGCATCCAGTTTAGCTGCGTCTCTCAAGTAGTGAAACGAGGTGATGAAGCCACAAATTATAAGGGGTGGAAGTCTGAACGCCAACTTTGATGAAACATCTTCATGAAAATTCATCACAGAACGGAATGATTAATGCAGGTCGTCAAATCAAACCTTCAACAAATTGGTTCGTTCTGCTGACTTTAGAGGGAAGAATCCCAAAAGAACACAATATGTGGCTGTGGGTCATGGCACCCGGAGTGTGCCCCGTTCACCCTGGTAGGTTGACCGACGTCACGTGCTCTATTCTGTTCATGTTCGGTCAACCGTCCTCGGGTTATGACCCACAGCTCACCAAGAATGTCAGCAATGTGGTGATGCCTAAGGCCTAAGTCTATTGAACACCGCCCCGAAATGGCTGCCACGCCACGACTCGTCCTCGACCCGACTCCAGTGCCTTTCTTTCTGTCAGAACAAGGACAAAGAGCTGAGCTAGCCTGGCAAATATGTTGCCAGCTTCAACGGACTCGAGTTCAGAACTCTTTGCACATAACGAGGCACCATGCTTCGTCTCTTCAACAGTGAGTATTCGCATGGTGGCAGTGTGGGAGATGGAACTGAGACCATCCAATGGATGTGCACTGGAACAGACTTGGATGTGGCCGACTTAGCCTGTGGTCACGGGCCACTGAAGGCTGCAAAGTCAACAAGAGATGTGCTGGCCGAGCTGCCGGGGTACTTTTCCCAGCAAGTCTGTCACTTGTCTCCTTTTGAGTGGTTCCTGCAACGTAGCTCAACAAGTCTGTTTCCACCAGCTCAGCTTGGGCTCAACCTGCTCTGCTCTGCCTCTGTGTGACCGAGAAGACTCGTTTCCGACGGCTTCCGAAGGGTCCGTCCCACAGCGTCCACACGGCCGGTTCGTTCGTAGGGGCACGAAGCAGACCCGGGGTGACCGGGGGCAGCAGAGCCCGACCTTGGAGGCCTTAAGCCTTATGAGGAGCCTGGAGGCGCAACATCCGTGGCATCCGTGACCTCCCCAGGTCACATCACCAGACCGGCCTGAGGCCCTCCACTCACCCCCACAGGCGACGTCGGACGGGCGCCTGTTGACTGAGAGGAAGGCCACCAGTGGTCGGAAGGAGAAGTCCCTGGTAAAGCCTTGGGCGATCCGAGTGGACCACGGCTTTACCAGTGCACCGTGGCGGAGGATTCATCACCTCATGGGTGAGCCCCAAAAAAAAGCGAAGTCCCATGTCAGAAAGCACTCATGCGTCTTATTGGTCTCTGGACCTGTTGGATTCTCATGTGAACTTTACATGGATTCATGACTACCATGACTAGTCGACAAAAAGTTCTGTATGACTCCAGTCCACCTCCTCCAAGACATGTCTGTACAGGTCCGAACACCATCGCCTCCGGTCCCAGGAGTTTTGGACGAGAAGCCCTCCTGGTCGAGGATCGTCACCTCCTTCAGGCCTCGGGTACCGGGACCGAAAGGGAACCCTGCCGGTTTTGAAGGGGTGTTTTGGTGCGGTGGGGAGCGACTCTTGGACGAGGTGACCAGTTTCGTCTCGACCGAGTGAGAGACTGCTGAGAATTTGGGGGCTCCCAACATACAAATGATGGATCGCCGGGCTCAGGCAGTTGTAAACTGCACAGATGTTGCCTTCGTTCCCCTGCCACTTCAGTTGCGTTTCGGAGAATTCTCTGGACCCCTTGGCCCTTGGCCGCAGAGAAAGGCACGCGCATGCCAGCGCCGCATGCGCATGCCAGGCCTGCGGTCAAGGTGACCATGGTGTGCCGGTTCGGTGGCAGTGGCAACTCGTAGAAGATCTGGCTCACCAGACCTAGGTCCGATCGGCCAATGGTGGATGGTGCATGAGCACAGATCAGAGAACAAGATCCAGGTCCGGTCCAACCAGGACGTCCACGAAAGATAACCAGCAAGATAAGACGAGGATATATAGATGTTGAAGATGGCAAGTACTGTAGGATTCAGTACTTGGACCCGTCAACGTCCTAAAGACTTGGCAACACCTCACGACCCTGGTCTTGGAGTATAGAAGCTAATGGTGTGCTTGAAGCGGAGTCGCAAGCAAAAAAAGAACAAGAAGAATGAAGCAAGACCTCTGAGTCTGCCAGCTGCTATAGATGGGCTTTCAGACCGCCCTTGCGTTTCCGACAAAGAAGTGCAAAATCCATGGTCCTTTCATTCAAAAAGAAACAAAGATCGCAACCATTCTTGTCATCTTGGCTCTCAACCCGAGTCACCTCGCCCCTCTTCGTTGGGAGGGCGTTTCCGTTTCCTCCCGCATCCTCGTTCCGCCGTCGGCCCAGCCACGGAAGACCAGTCGTTCGGAGGGGTCGCATGGCTCCCCTGCAAGGAAGGAAGAACTGGTCCATCACATGTCGGATGACTAGACATTGGACATGGCTCTATTACATGGCTCCAAAACATGGCTCAACGAAAAAGAATCTGCAAGCTATTAGAAGAGTAGGATGACTTGGCAAAGAAAGGCTACTCAAACATACTCAAACTAATTGCATCTAATTTATCTACTGTAATTACTAAATATATGGCAATCCCATTTACCATGGGGCAGTTGAGCAGAAAAACGGGAGCCCAAACAGCAGGTTTGTCTTAACCAGGGAAAACCACCTTTAAAGAACTAGGTGCACACTCTCCGCCAAGTTGCATGTCGCAACCATCATAGTTTATAGTATAGTGTATTCAAATAATCAATTTGGTAGATTGTGGATGATTGTGGACTGCGATCTTAGAGGGGCAAGGGACCCGGCGGAGACTGCTTGGAGAACCCACCATAGAATGGTAAGAGTCCAATCGTTCTCTTCACGTGCTACCCAGCTGCTACCCTGTGTCAAACTGAGAAAAAGGTAACAATAACATACAATATCATACAATAACCAGTTCCGGTCAAGCCTTTTGTTGAGTCTCTGAACCCGATGTCAGTCTGACAAGTCTCACAAGGCTTTCCTGCAACAAAACCTCTCAACAAGGCTTTCCCGATGTGGTCCTTTCCCACGCGATGGTGCATAATTAAGGGTGAATCAATGTCAATCACACCTATCTCAGTAGCCCTGACCTCGCCATCCATCGCGTTTGCCTTTGTGGCATACACCGCCCCTGTACCGAGCACCGTTCAGTCCGTCTTCTTCGGCTTCGACCGGCGTCCAACACCGTGCGGGCGCGGCCGGTGAACCGCTGCATCTCTTGATCCGCTCGTGCGGCCAAGACCAAGTCCGACAGCCTCGGCGGTCGGAAACCGAAGCTATGAGGGCTCGATGCGAAGTTCAAACGTGGGGGGGGGGTCCCGTGGGTGTGTTAGGGCTCTTTGGTCACAAACGAAGGTTAGCTTGCTTCGCGCTTGCTGTGGTTGAAAGTCGGAAGTCCTGCAAATGGTTCCTTTGGTAGAGTGTATCTGATGTACAGGACGATGACTATATATATGTGTGTGTGGATGTTCTGGCTCATTTAACTGGAGCCAATTAAGGTCGGATGTCAGATGGATCCGGTTCCGACCTTCACGTCGCTTCAACAAGCATCAACAATGATAGCACCAAAATCTGCAAGCAAAACATCGAAGAACTCTCCAACAAACATGGAAAGATGATGAAAGATGGAGGTCCAACAGGCTCCCGTTCTATGTTTCGTAGCAACACCGTGGTCTTCAACCAAAACTACGAGCCCTCTATCTTTTCTCAACTGCAAAACGAACATAACGAACAATACTGTAAATCGCCTAAACCATCCTAAACCGCAGAAATCACCTAGGAATGGCAATCCCATGTTCAACACACAGAGTTGACCAACGTTGACCAGTACGTTATGACGTGCCACCATGAGAAAGGCTTGAGCTAGGGGAGTCCCCAACACGGGCTGCCATGGTGACTTGCTGGTGCAAGCTATGCAGTATGCTTAGAATTGAAAGATTTGCACGAAAGCCGGCATCCCCTGGCTCACGGAACGCGGGAACACATCAATATCATCAATGGACCACGATTCTCACAGCAAGCTGCCCCGGGGCTCAGTCCTCTGAAGGTGGACCACTTGACCGGAAGCAGCCACCGGAGGGATCAGCCAACTGCGTGTCAGCGGTCTTCGGCTGCGGAGCCCACAAGCAGCTGTGGTCTGAGGCGAGAACAAGCTCCGCAGCAGCTCCAGACATGGGAAAAGAGACACCAAGCACAAGGCCTCCCATCGATGGGGTCGACGCGAGGCGGTTAGCGGTTACGTCACCGTGACGTCACGGGTCGAGTGAGCTCTCCCGCTTCGCTTCCCGGAGCACCCACGGTAGACCGGTAGACCAAAAGGAGAGTTCAGCCTTCGGTCTCCGAGTTGGCCAAACATGAGTTGGCTAAAAAATCCGTTTGGTTCCATTCTAACAATGTAGGCACGTTCTGGGGACCGAAACAAACGTTCGGGCACCTGGTCCATTCGTGGAGCGATCCATTCGGCATCCAAGCTCTTGAACCTTCTGCCAGAACCTGGAAGCTTCAAGTTGAATACAACGGTATCACTCAGTATACCAGGACCAGGACCCATTCCAGGACCATCCGATTTCTACCCCCACCCAGAAAAGTGGGTGCCAGGACACACCAAGAATCGGGTCCTGGGATCATTCGAGCTCTGGCAGAGTCATTCCAAGTCGAGCTCTGCCGGTTTCGGCGCTTCCGGACCCTCTGCGCTTCCTTCGCACCGCACCAGCAAACCGAGCGATGTTCATGAACCCACCCAGTTTCGGTGGGTGGGAAGACAACCTGGGACAACACTGACCCCCCTGTCATTGAAAAGTAATGAAAAGTAGTAAAACCGCTTATGTATTGGACATCGTGCAATCCTATCTATTTGGGGACCACTATAAGATGGATTCACTCTTCTATCTGGAGACCTTTCGACCAATCTTCGTCTCCCCCCACATGCGGCCCGACCCCTTGCGAGATCGGTCGCCCGCAAAGAGGCGGCCCACTCGGCCGCTCGGCCTTCGGCGCGTAGACGTATCCTGGAGCGCGGTGGACCGTCGGGTCCAAGCGCCAACGAAACCGTGAACCGTGAAGGGTCTCCGGTAGTTCCCATTTGGTTTGGGCTTTCGCGGCTCGTAAGAAGATATCTTCTTAGTGGATCTCTTGGTGGGAGTTCCTTTTTTCTTTTGGGGGCCCGCAAGAACAGATATTGTTGTGGATCTTTTCTTGGGAGTTCAATTTTGGTTTTGGCGATCCATGTTATCGTCTGAAATGCTCCCCATACAGCTGTAAGCAAAACCCTGAGGCCCACAGGAGGAGGCGGCAGCAAATTGATCAACTGCTCATGTTTGCGGAACGTGGTCTTGTTTGATGGGCTGATTCATCTTGCAGCTTGCACCATCTGAGTTGAAAACTCTGTGGAGTCGCGAGCTCTGCCTTTCCAATCCTTTCCATAGATTAGGATATCCCCTACGGGCCAAGTTAAACCTGGTCTTTGACCTCATTGAGTACTGGTTTTGCATGACCGAGGTCCTTGACCTGTAGGGGCTCTTTTAATAATTTGTCATATACTTTCGACTCAGTCTTCCTGCCATTTCATTGCGGAAATTGCTTTTTGACAAAAACTGAAGCGATTTCGCTCTCCTCCTCCGCTGCGCTCCATCCGCTCATGTACCATCAGACAAGCCACATGCAATCGACCTCAGTGCTTGGCTGCGAGTTCTCGCGCGGCTCACTGGGTCAGCGCGCCACGGCCGGGTCCGTGTGGCTCGGGGGGCGGCCAGAGGGGGCTCCGGTGTCTTCTCTGTTCGGAGCCCGTCGTGGCTTCGGAGCGCCTGCGTTCCGTCTGGAGCTGAGGCGTCCGGGCCCCCGGAAGAAGAAGTGAAGACCTGGGAGTGGGATTCAACTCGAAGTTGACCTGAAAGGAACAGATTTGGGGGTTGAGATCCTAAATCAAAGAAAACAGCAGAGCTGACCAGCACCCTCCATTCGGAGTCTCCAATTGACCCTACACATCCTACACATTCTACACTACGTAGGTGGATCTCCAGACAGGATACCCCGACTGGAAGGTCCAGTCGGATGTTCTTTCGAGCGAATGGCTCATGCGCTCGACCGACCTTGGGCGAGGCCGATCGAAGGATCTGACGAAAGCATTGAACGAAGCGCATCCCCGGCCGATCGTCTGTCCACGAACGGGAGAACTCTGGAGAAGACCCGGGGGATGCAGAACGAATCTTCCAAAGCACCAACCTGGGGAACCACCCAAAAAAAGGTCATGAAAGCTCTGGACTCACATTCATTGGACCAAAAAAAGCTTGGCCGAAACAACAACCGTAGTAACCTATAGGACATGTGCCATGTTCGTTGTATCCCCAAAGCGGAGGTCCTCCGCTTTGGGTAGCGAAAGGTCGGACCATCCAGCATCGGTGTTGTCGGTGCCCAGAACTCCGACCTGTCGGGCTAGCCCTCGGGTCCGGCTCCAACATACACGACATGCATGGTGAGAAGAACGAGTGAGCTTTCGAACGAACGAACCCGTTTTGGGTGTTGTGTTGATTCCACCGGTGCCCCATCCCATGCCATCGCTACGATGCGACCAAGGCGCCACGGAGGTGAAGGACGGGCTCGGGCTGGGCTTGTGCTCTTCCAGGCGAAGCCCATCCTGCGACGGATGGAACACTTCGGCACCACGGAAGAGAAGAAAGAAGCCCGGCCCATCCACTTCGGATGAAGGGCTGGATGGGTGGTTTCAGGGTTCATGGCTAGTGAACGAAAACCCTACATCGCTGTAGGTCGGAGGGGATACACCGCTTCAATTGGTGCAATTGAACATAGAAGAGTGAGAAGGCGGGACGTTTTTCGGGTTGTCAGGTGAGGAAAAGGATATGTGTTGCAAATGTGTGACCACAAATCCTTCTTGGGGGTGGGTAGCGGTAGCAGTTCACATTTGAAAGAACGAACTAGACCGTCTCACAAGTGTCGACGCGGTCGAATACACAGGCCGCAACCACCTTGTCAATCATAATGATGTTGTTTCTAAACTAAACTGTATAACAACTGCTAAGGTGTCATGTCACATGTCTTTCTTGCTGTCCTCTCGTTTTCTGCGTTCGACAACCCCGGAACACGGTCGGCTTCCCGGTCCAGCTGGTGACTCCAGCTGGTCACTGAGCCTCCTGCTGGACACCGCAGTCTGAACGGGTGTGAACCCTAGGCCCTGAATGAGCGGTATATGAACACCCTGTCTGAACCCGGACTGCCGGAAATCCTTTTAGTCATTGAAAACGGACCAACACCTTGCAGGTGACACACTGGCGCAACAGCGGGTGCCCGCTCTCGTGCAAATTTGATGTTGTATGGCTCAAAACCGACAATGAACATGACACACAGGAAAACAGAGCTGCTTTGAGAGGGCCCAGAAAGTGGAGCATTCTCAGATTCCACCTGCTTTGTTTCACAAAAAAAACCAACTCAAGACTCTGATTGAGTTGGTCCACTTCCCGCAAGGTTGAGTTGCTCAAGAAGTCAGAAGCCCATCAAACCGTCCCGGGGTCCCAACGAGATCGGCACCGGACGTTCCGGATCCGACGAGCTCCGGCACGGTGTGCGGGAGACCGGTTTTCGCTCGCCCCAGGTTTCGCCCTTCACCCCCAGACCGTGCGGTCCTTAAAACAAAAATCGGGCAGGGGGCTCAGCACTGGGCTCAGCGGCACATCATCGTCCTCAACGAAAAGACGGTCGTGTCTTAGACATCTGCAACGTCGCGGTTAGGCAGTCAGAAATAGAGGAGGTTGGTCAGTTGGTCCCATGTTCATCCCCATTTCTACTTACCCGAACCGGGGGACATGGGTCCGAAGTAAATACCTGTCAAATCACGAAGATTCAAACCCTAGGCTTCTGTGAAGAATCTTGGAGCGGCTCCCGCACCCGGCCTCCTGTGGGAATCGCTCCAAGGTCACTGCTTTGAGGCCTGGCCGGACCGGACCGATGCATGGGGGACCCCGGTCACCATCGCATAGGCATTGCTGGCCGTCCTCAGGAACGGGGGCGAACTGGCATCGTCCATCCGAACCGGGCCTTCCTCCGACTTCAACGCAGCCTGGCGCAGCGAAATACGAGACGAAAGGACTGGCCGTCTTTGACCTAGACCCAATGGATCCAGCTAACACTGGAAGAAACCATGGAAGCGCAAGAAGCAAAAAGTATCAAAAAGTATCCCCGCAAGAGACCCCAAACAGTTTGAAGTAGAACAAAGCCAGGGGTGAAGAAGCGAATGTCCACACTCGCGTGAGCACACGCAAACGAACACACATGCTCACGAGCAAACGCCCTTAGGCACACAATATAAAAGCACAAACATGAGAGCACACATGAGACCCCACAACCAACAGCGCACATGTGAGGGCGCTCAAGTAAAAACACACACACCATGTGTTTGTAGGAGAGCACGAATATGAGAACACCCTGAGAGCACACTGACCTCATGATTCACATCACGCAGCCCTGCCAGGGCTTTTCGACAAGCTCGAGATGCCAAACGAAGCTTTCGCGCGATACTTCTCCCCAATTCCGAAAACTAGCCACGAGTCCAGGCTGATGACTCACCGAAAACAAGCTGCGTGTCCATCGTTGACGGTTCACGGCACTCCAAAGACCACCACCAAACCCAAAGCGCCGCGCCCGCCACGAACCCGGACATGGAAGTACAACCGCTGCGGGTTCCTGCGCACCACCCCACCCCCACGCCCGTTTAAGGAGGAGTGATGCAGAGCATAGCACTATAGTATGCAGCCAGTTCCAGCATGGAATGCTCGGAATGCCGGGTGCTTTTTGCTTCTGCCAACTCACAGGCTTGTTCACTGAAGAAAATACAAAATTGATGAGTCAACAGCCTCTGCAACCGCCACTCTCTCAAGTGCCAGTCCATCTGCAACACGACTTGGTTCGACGATTCTTTCAAGCAAGCCACACTATGCCCACCGCTATCAAGCTTGCAAAGTAAGCGGCGACCAGCATCAGAATCCTGCCAACTCCAGAGTCGCCGGGGGCAGTGTATACAACTCTTTTGGGAGTGCTCGCCCAAAATAGCAGCACGGCCGTGGTTCAGTCCACTAGTCCATGATGCAATGCTTGAAGAATGGGAACCAGCAAAAACTTGGCAAAGCTTGAAAAGGAACTTCACAAGAAGGATGTTCAAAATATAGGCAAGATCTCCAAAGCGAATAGGTCAGCAGAATGTCAGCGCCTTGGCCACCCACATGGCCACCCACATGTCAATCGACATGCCCATCACTGAGGTCAGCACCAAACAGCGTTTGACTTGCCCCCCCCCCCGGTCTTGCGCCGTCTTCCGGTCGACGCGTTGGCCGCCTCAAGCGCCTCCGGCTCCAGTGGTTCCAGTCCCAGCACGGCCAAGTAGCCTGGACCCGTGGAGCGTGGGGCTGTCCCGTCAGAAGTGTTTCCCTCCGAAAACAGCTGAGCTGGTGAGTGGATGTCAAAAATGGGACTGAAACTGGACTGAAATATACAGAAATGCTACAAATTCTAAGAGCTTGTGATTACATGGATCCCCATCAACCTATGGCTTTACCTAGATCCATCTAGAACCCCTTCCATAACTCCAAATGTATACAGCACGGTTGCATCCTCAGCTGCTTTCTCAAGGCCTGGTGAGGGCCAGCGTTCGAGGAGGAAGGAGAAGAATTGAGAAGAAGTGGAGAAGTATGAAGCCCAGCTTAGCTTTCAGCTATCTCGAGAAATAGCACAGCTCATGAAGATCATAAGGCTTAAGGAAAACAGATCCTTTGAGACTGGAACACTACCGAGTCACCACATACTGGATGTGAAAAGAAACGGCTGTCATGAACCTTCCACTTCCATGCTCCTCGACAGACGGTCCACCGTGCGACGGGATGTGCTTTGAGTAGACGGAGAGTAGAAAAAGCACAGTCCGTGTTACTACAGACCCAACCCCTTTTAAGATGCTTTGCAACAGCTTTCAATAACAATATATTAGCAGCGTCACTGCGTTTCTTTATCAAAGCATTATGCCTCTGTCTACAGTAGACAGTTGATGTTCATGGCCAGCCTTCCATACACTGAAGTATGAAGATGTTTTCAAAAAGACAGGAACGGTGGGCTGCATCGTCCGCCGGTCTTGGGTGGCCCAGGAACGGATGAGCCGCGTGTTGGCCGCCATGAGCTGGTCGTCATGAGCCTGGTGTGGTCGGTGAGGAGCCGAGCCGAACATAGCGAACAAGCCAACAGCAAAACACCATGGGGACCCCCCAAAACCAGCATCTGGATGGTTTTAGGTTAATGTACACAATTTCCTCTTAGAGATCATGATTGAAATGTTGAAAGCAGAAAACGGTGTCGTCTTCTATGCTCTTTTGGACCTCTTTCTTGGGCGCCGACTTCTTTGATTGGTATGTCTGACTCACCGTGGGGCAGGGGTAGACAGTGGCATTATGTTTGTGTCCTGGTGTCCTCATACTATCTCACACAGAGCTCAGAGCAAAGACTCACACTATCTCACACTCATTTTCTTTTCCATTCACCGGGCCTCATGTCCTCATTTCCTCAACTAGCTGCTACCCCTCTGGTGGATGCGAACCAATTTCCCCGCACGGCATCCCGCGCGGCCTGGTGGCCACTCGTCTTGGCGCATGGCGG